AAACCAATGTGGCGCAAAAATGCGAAACCAATACAAATCTTGCGAGCGAGTAAAACTGATTAATGATACGCGCGCACAAAAGCATGAGAAAAGCACAGCCACTGTGGTGGTATGCAAAGTAGCGGTGTTTTGTGAAAAAATCTAAAAACCGAAAAAATAGAAAAGAATGAAAAACAAAAAGAGTTAAACTCCACATCATTAATTAAAGCGAGAAACATCAAAGTAAATAGCAGCGACAAAAAGGATACGCAAACAATATGTAAAACAGGAGTAAACAATTTTGTAGAGCCAACAAAAAAAAAGAGCAGAAATGCAGCGGCAGAAAAAATTACAGCAACATATAAATACTTTAATGAGAATATGCAAATATGATGATGTCAAAAAAAAATAAATAAATGAATTTAAAAAAATAAAAAATCAAACTGACAAAAAGCCAATTTAGCGGCGAAGCATGTAAAATGTAAACACAAGCAACAAAATAATTTACAACAACAAAGCAAGGCAGACAGTGTGAGACTGCGAGGTGTCAACAAGCATCGCTGCTCATGAATATAAGAAAAATCACATAATTTCCAATTATAAATTCATTGAATTGACATTTAAAGCGACTGAGCAGCAAACTGTGTGTGTGAGGTATAACGCTGTGTGTGTATGCATTTGTGCTGCGTAAAAGGAATTCCCTCAGCCGCATCAATATCAACACATCATCAATCAGCGCTTCCTTGTTGCTTATATTGGTCTCTCAGAAGCAAACGAGATACTCTCGCTGACTTGTCAAATATCGCATTGAAAATTAATGAGCTGCAAGTCGCGAAGTTGCATATCGTTAGGCGCACCAGCGCTCATTTGTAGCCATAACGTCGCGGCTAGGGTATGCAAATCAGCTGCATCATCATTATCGCGCAATAGACTCGCACGCATACACATTTACCAATATATATAAAGTGATATATATATAATTTTTTAGACTTGCCAATAACACTGTGTGACAATTTATTTAGTTGCATGCAACAAATGTTTGTTTTCACATATTTTCATAACGGCCCATTTCGTTCCCTAACTTAAATATTCACTGCCGACGTAGGCATAACAAATTGGCGGCAGTATTAGCGGTAAGAAAGTTTCCAATGACTCAGCATGCAAATTTACCTGGACTCAGCGCCATAAAATATGCAAAGTAGTTGGGAAAATTAACAAATACCACAGTGTGTGCATTAACAATTGGTTATCGATGATATTTTATGAAAGAAATAGTACTTGTGAAAAAGCTATATTAAAGAATGTCCCACTATAAACGAGACTGTGTTAAGGTGGCATATGACCTTTTGAAGCGTTTAAGATTAACCAAATATTAAATATTCGATTGTGATTGAAAATGAGACGTCAGAATTTAATATGATGCTGAAATCACTGTCTCACAGAAAATGAGACTGTTGTAAGACGAAGTATTCTGCATTATAAATTCAAAAATGAAAAGAAAGTTAAATATTCCATTATGATCTGGTGAGACACTGTACCGATTGTCCAGAAGCTAAACGCTGCACCAAAAAATATTTGGAAGTACTTGAAAAGGCTGTATATACAAAGAAGCTTTATGTATTGATGCCTCATGAACTAAACACCCACAGCAACGTCAAACGAAAACGATCCCGGTCGAATGGCAAAGAGTCAGCACAAATGCTCTTCAAGTCAGTATTGTTGGCCATAAAGCTTTTGTTGTGTGTTTGATCGGATGGTCAAGAAATCATCCATCCCCTGAGCTGCTCCCCTAGAGCTAAACTTTTAATTTGTACCTGCACTGTCAGCAATTGCACCGTGAGAAGGAAGTAATAACCCAAAAGCTGCAAGGTGAGCCAAGCTTTGGTCAACAAGAGTGGAGTTGTATTTCATCAGAACAACGTCAGGCTGCACACTTCGTTGGTAACTTGCCAGAAGTTCTGAGAACTTGGTTGAGAGATTGCTATGTGTTCACCTTAATTCCGGACGTCGAACCAAATGATTACCATCTGTGCCTAAGAAATTCGATTGATTAATTTTTTTGCCAACAGGGACAAGGGTTTCCATAAGTCGGATCTATGGTAAACAATGCTTTCAATTTTTTACAAAAATAATAGATTACTTTTTACTAGATCAATAGTATATACATACGCCCATAATGGTTCGCTAACAAGAAAATATTACTAAATTTATGCCTGCACTGACAAAATCTCTATTTTGTAGTAGTCCCTATGCTCTTATACTTTTAAGAGAAGTGTTTTTACAATACTTTTAGTGTTTCATGGTACTCAACCTCAAGCTATTCGGCCTTACTTAGCGATTGTTCTTACTTAAGGCAGAATGCGTAAGTCGCTTTGGCGGTTATTGTTCTTCTTAATTAACGGAGCCACAGCTTATGCGACTACAGCCGAGTCAAGAAAATTGAAAATAGGCGTATTGGCCTCTTCTTTTTCTCTCTGCATCCATAAGCGAGTACTATCCTCAAAACTGGAGAGTTCGCATCCAACCCAGCCAAGTAAGATGTCTTACAATCCGTTGAATTATGTTGTTGAGCTGAGTTTTTATATTGTCAATAAATTTTCTTGGTGGTTTATACCAGACCTTTTCGATATTGCTGTGGGCAGCAAATTTTATCACTTGTACACAGTAGGTCTTCTTATGTCATACCTAATTGTTTTGTTGTTGGTGCATTTTACTCCCAATTGTCTGTGACTTACAGTTTCTGTTTCTTTGAAATGACATAAAGTTATTGGACTCACTTTCACTTAATTCAGTTATTATCATTATTACTATTCCTCTGTCGCTCTCATCTTCCGTGAGTTACTATATACAACTTAAGTCGTGTTCTAGATAACTTTGTTCAGAGACAGAGGAAATGTTCCAATATCTCATGCATGCTTGCCTCACTACTTTTGTTTTCTTAGGCCTATAAGTTAAAAAACTAATAATATATTAAAAATTGTTGGAGTAGGCTCGAAGTCGAAACTAAGTTGGTCCAGAACCATTACCATCCGACGAAAGCAAGTTCATTAAGAAAACCTGAAATATAATTAACACTCAGTAGAATGCACCGATCTATTGTCGGAATGAATGATTCTCGAGTTTGTAATGATTTCGTGGTAATTGTTGGGCTATAATTAGCAACATAAATGATTTCAATAAGTTACTGATGGACTTAAAGACACGCTACACAACCAAATAAGAACAACAGAAAAGAGGCAATAACATACTCTTGCTCTCTAAGATAACAACGTTGACATTATAAGTAAAAGAATGGATAAACACGAATTGCGTCATCATTGTCATGAGATATACCAGAAATACATATTTGCCTCACGTGATAATTTGCCACACTTTTGCTAAAGAAACAATTGCTTTGACCTCTTTTTGACTTGCGTTTGTCATGTCAATCCTTTGCTCCAAGAGGAACAAGAAAGCTTTTAAACAATACTTTAGTCACACCAATTGGTCGTCAGTCATTTTCTAATTCCGTGAAATGTATATTTTTTCATAAGCATACATATATATGTATGTACATACTAATTACCATTACACTCTCGCTCTCTCACATCCTTACATCCTTGGCATTATTGTGATTAATCCATATGCGTTTGAATGACATGAACTAATCATGAAACGTGACGTCATTCGTTACGCCCCTTTATTATGATTTTTATTAATGATGCTACAAAATTTCATTTGACGTAGACAACAACAACAAGAAAACTTTATGTTATAAAAATATCAAAATTCATTAATATATTTTTAGCATTTTTTCTATTTTTGTATTTTTTTTTTTTTTTTTTTTTGAGTTTGTGCAGCCACACCACTCCTGCGCTTGCAGCTCTGCTTGTGCTGAAATTATTAATTTATTTTTGTTACATTGCCTGACCACAAGCCACGCTGCCACTTATACTCGTTTGTATGTGTGAGTATCTATTTGGCTCGCTGTTATTGTAGTTTCACCACTCACGTATTTTTTATAGAACTGTGACTTTCGGGAGTCAAATGTTATTGGATTTGCAGGCAATTAAATATTTTTGAAGCATATCAAGCGCTTATTGCTTATATGACCCCTTGCTTCTATGTAATGTTTTTTATATTGTTACATGCATATAGTATATGTATGATTGTAAGTGAAAGTGTAGGAATTGCTACGTCATTATTTAGAGATTTCGATTGCAGTCAGTCGACTTTTCCCTTCTGGTGGCTCTGATATTTACTACTTCCATATTGTTTTATAATTCTTAGTACCCTTTTTTAAAATAAAATTCAATCTATAGCGATATCATGTCATGGTCCATTCTTCAGAGATGGAAGAAAGTCACTTCCCGCCATTTAAAAAGTACGTTGAACGAGTGAAGTATGTAAGAAGACAGGTCCTAAATTGTACGATGGAGTAAATCCAAAGATTACTACGGCCAATCAGAGAAGATCCTTCAAGCTGTCAAACCACACTATTTACTTCTCTACATACTCATCTTAGCTTAGAAGAAATATTTGCTATAAAAAGGCGATAGAAGTACTGCTGAGAGTAGGGCAATGCATAAGGATATTAAATATTTACGTAGTACTCGTAGCTAACCAAGTGATTATTAAAGCCTTACTTCTGTTTTCTGCATTTCTTAAGTATTTATTTTTCTCGGACAAAAAGGGATGCGGAACCCTTTTCGATAGACGAACGGTCTCCGGGTTGCTCCACCTTCTAGCAAATAAAAAAATTTGTGCCCAGGAAGATTTACGGCAATGCAAAGTTCGGCCTCCTAGTTTGCTAAGACTTTTAAATACTGGTGCATGAGGTCATGCTGAGAACTAAAGAACTAGTCGTTGGCACTAACACTTGCGCGCTACATCATCTGCGGGTACGACAACTTAAGCAGCCACCACTTTCCAGCATTTTAAGCAAGATTCATATTACATAAAAGGACAGCTCATCATATTGTGGAGTGCCACATATATTAAGTTATTAAAATTTATTTTTCATTGCATACTAAACATTTCAATTATATTTTAGCATGCAATCTGTATTTGTAGACAGGAAGTAAATGATTTCTTTACACATCCCAATATTTGTAATCGAATTCGCCGAACTTTTCATATTTCCTCACATAATCTTCGATATTCTTACTATGACCGACATGATAGATCTGAGCGTCCTTGAAATGCACATTCGGCACATCAAAAGTGTATTCATTTTCTATAAGACGATCGAAAGGATAACCGCGCGCATTGTGTTGCTCTGCCGGTGTCACCATGAACATAAACTGTACGGAGAAACCCTCCTCATTGCCTTTGGGTATGACGAAATGTGCAAATGAATCTCCCAAGTTGAACTGCGGCAAAGCGTCTGAAGCATCCAACCGGTTCTGTGAAACACCTTCAACGTAGTTCCGCATTTCACTGTAAGACCAGCGACGTTTAAGGTCTGGAGAATGCCATATGACGGCATTATTGCCTGTCTCCAACGTATAGTCAACGGCATCAACTAATATGAAATTCTCACGATTTTCACGCAGCGTCAACAATTTATGGCGTTCGTTATATTTTGGTGCTATAAAAATTTGTATTTTCACTGCCACTGGATTATCGGCATATATCTGAAGAGTGAAGTTATACGGTTTATGTGTGAGATGCTGTTGACGTGCGTAAATGCCGTCTTTGCGTTGGTCGAATGATTTTAGATTTTCTTGCCACAAATTGCTCAAATCAATATCTTTATAATCAAAATAGGTTACCAAAGGACTTACGGCAGCAGCTTGCACTTTAATGCCCGGCATTTCCAGTTCACGCTTCGCGTAGGCGGGTAAATTTCTGATATAACGACGCCACATATCCAGCACTTTATACTGCATTAAACTATAGAAGAGTGGATCACGTAGCGTGGTTTCGAAATTCACCAGCACATGTGGACCCACATTATTGAATTGTTCAAACTCAATTTGCGCCAAATACATGAAAGAGTAGTGCCAATAGGTTTCATTATCCTGCGGCGTCAAAGCAACATGATTGTCATGTAATATATTTGAGAAGTCCACCACTGCCGCAGGTTGATGTAAATCATGTATGGTGCCATTCTCGAGCATGCATAAGCCAGTGTCAGCTAGTCTATAGATTTCATTGGTCAGTTGGAAGACCAAATCGATTGTTTTCGGAAAACCATAATCACCGTATTCATAGTTGTTGTAACGTTGCCAAAATGTCTGACCATTCCAACTTACCAGTTGTGGATTGTAACCTGTTGCAATTGTATACTTCAGTGTTATATCCTCCCACACATCTAAGCCCTCTGACAGGCGCGCCATTTTATAGATGGCCATTAATCTGCCAATCGCATAAATCCATTCACTACCCAGAGCAGTGCTTGATTTACTACCCTCAACGTGGAATGTTGGATACTCGAGATTGAAGTCGTACCACATATTATTGAACTCCACATCTTCCAATAGATAAGATAGCCGCGTCTCTGAATTCAGTATATACACATTACGTGTATAATCTACCGGTGTCCAGTACCTTGTCATCACAAACTCTTTATTTTGAGCGAGAGAATAACCAGAATTTAACTCCATATAGAAACGCTCATCGCTCATGCCCATTACTCGCCACCATTGCCATGGTTTCCAATTACTTAAAAACTGAACACTTTCTTCTATCCATCTCCGTGCATCCAAGTCCTCATCTACATTTTCCCATTGTTCCTTACGGAAAGTTAGTGCTCTATGTATTACTTGACTATTGAGAAAATGTTGTGGAAATATTTCATACATCGGTGGTAATGAGAAATGATGGCAATCTTGTCGTTGCTTCACTGCTAAACTTAGCGCATAGACGAACATGCCAGGATTGATATTTTTGCGTGCCCAACAAACATTCTTTTCAAAAGTGGTCCACGCTGTGGCATAGTAAAAGAATTTATATAGTCCGATTGCTTGTTTGTGATGCTTTTGTACGAGCGCACCGAAGAAATCCATTCGAGGTAGTAAACGATGGTTTTCCATATCCCTCAGGAATCGTTGCATATCATCATCGAAATTCTGTAGATGAAAAAAAAGCTTATAAAAATGGAATTGTATATAGGTGGTAGACTGAATACTTTTAGAATCATGGAACGTCAAATTTCACACAAACAAACTTATGAAACATTGAACAAAAAATACATAACGAAAACCCAAAAAAAGATTAAAAAGCGAAAAAACAACGGAACGCATAAACCATAAAACCTCAAATGCAAAAAATAAAAAATGAAATATAAGACGTTAATCCAAACCATGAAATGAAAATACGAAAGTTAAAACATAAATTTTGAAATATGAAAGATGCGACATAAAATATGAAACATAAAATACAAAACAAAAAACCAAAAAAAAAAAAAATTTAGAAACAAAAACACAACGAAACACGCAAACCGAAACTCGAAAAGTAAAAAAAAAAGACATGAAACATGAAACAAAAACAGAAAGCAGGTGGCTTAAAACGTAATACAAAAACATAAAATATAAAAATTTAACAAAAAACATATAATATAAAATATAAAAGATAAAATATAAAATACAAAAAACAAAAAAAAAAAAAAAGCTAAATTAAAACACGAAAAACGCAACGAAACACATTAGCCATAAAACTCGAGATGTAAAAAAACATGAAAAATAAACAAAAACTCATAACGTAATTCTAAACCATAAAATATAAACAAAAAACAAACATGAAACTTAAAACATAAATTGTAAAACATGATGAGATGATACCTAAAATACAAAATAAAAAAAATTAAATAAAAAAACATGAAAGATAAAACCCGAAACATAAAGTATGAAACAAAAAAATTAATGTTTTGCACAATACATAAAGCAAATAAATCATGAGACATAAATTAGAAATAGAAAATGGAACATAAAGTATAAAACTGGAAGCGTGAAAGTGAAAATCGTTACTAAAACCGTTAAGCATAATATTATATTATACACAAAACACAAATCGTGAAACCCAAAAAACATAAAACATGAAAAATTTAATACAAACAGAGAAACATAATACTTGAAATACAAATCAAAAACGATAAAACATAAATCATAAATTACAAAACATTAAACATAATACATAAATTAAAACACAAAAAACATAAAAAAAATAAATAAATAAATAAAAATAAAAAAAATTTAAAAACAAAAATGAAATATTAAATCCATACATAATGAAACATAGAGTGCCAAAAATAGTAAACATCTAAAAAACATAGAAAATAAATATAACAATCAAAGCATGAAAGGTAAGGCGTTATATATAACATAAAAAGTAAAACAAAGAAATTGAGTCATGATACACGAAATATGAGACTGAACCACAAAATTTTAAATATTATGAAATATAAATAATTTTATATAAAAAAAAATAAATCAAAAAATATAAAACAGAATATTTTAACATAAACAGAAAATATATAATAGAATAAAAATATATTCATAAAAGAGAAATAAAAAACATAAAATAAAAACGTATAAACCACTAAACATCAAAAATAATATATTAAACATAAAATTTTGTATAATATGTAAAACATTAAAGAGCGCTCTGAGATCAAATGTAATGGTTCATTCAAACTAACTCTCATTCCTCATTTTATGACCTAGAAATAATCTTTACTTACTTTATATTTCTTTGCGTCCCTTACAAAAGTAGCTCCGTGGCATATGGACGTTCCATTCTGTGGCAGCGCGTCTTGTACGTGCCACACAATTTCGAGTAAAAATTTTTGTTTTTTAAAAAAATCTAATTTCTCCGCCTCTTCGAGTTGCCAGCAGTTGCTAATTGCGAAAATGCAACAAAATAGCAAAATTAACAACTTCATTGTATACAATTATCGTTGGCACTGAGTCGGCTGCAATGCATTGAAATGAGTTTTTATAGTGAATTTCTTATCGGCGAACTGCATTGTTTTGCGACACCAATGTCAAGGTCAAAGTTATTTTCTTTTTTTTTTTAAGTTTTGAAAGCTAAGCATAAGAAATTTATTAGTTTGCTGATAAGATTAAGCGAGTGGTGTAGAGATTGGCTGTTGAGTGGCTGAGAATTTGAAAAAAGAAATTAATGTCGAAATAGATTTAGTGAATATTTCTACAATATTGAAATACAAGCAAGCCAAAATGAATGTTATATGTATATAACCAGCAGGGAGAAGAGAGACGGGTTTGTAAAAATTATGGTATTCTGAAGATGAAACTATACAAGTTGGTTATTTGCATAGCAGCCCACCATAGCTGAATTCTATTGTCTGCTCTGCCAAGTTGAAGTGCGCAAATTGACATCTATCACTACATTGTAAGAATAGCCAACTGGTTTTAGTTTATCGCTGTAGCGCCCTAAGCTCCTAGTTAGAGTCCCACTAGAGGCAAATTATTATTTTTTTTTGTTTGAGCAGAATTTTTCCCCAACCCATAAATTTTACATTGCGGTTATTTTGGGTACTACACCGCTGAGTTTGATTTACTAAAAACTCCGGTTAACCTCTAACTGGCCGCCACTGTGGTATGTGAGGCTTGCGATTCGATATTCTTAGCAGGCAAACTCATTTTCATTTTTATTTATTTATTTATTTTTATTTTCTTGAAGAAGTAGAAATTCAACATACCTAAAAGAACTGGTATACTAGTCGGAAAACTGCGGGCACGTAGGACATCACCGTGTTAAAAATACCAGCTGCTTACAGGGCAAAAAGATGCAAGATGAACTAGTTAACAACTAGTATGTTTCCCGGCAGGGTGTTAACTCAGAACTTAAGCTCAGTTTGCCGCTTGAGAAGAAGTGAATTGTTGAGATCAATCCGGGGATTATTGGAAATACTATTGGTGCAGGTGGTACCGAATTCTTTACTTGCATTAGTCTGTGATCAGTCGAAATAAGTTAAGGTTTAACAATAATAGCAAGGTAGTCGTTCGTCCATATGAAATATTCTAGAGCCCTTATATTAAAAAGAGAAAATTTGATGTTAGATTTTAAGTGTAGTAGAGGAAGCGAGAGAGAGAGAGAGAGAGAGAGAGAGAGAGAGAGAGAGAGTATATCGCCAAGTTAAACCTTATCGCCGAACGCAAAAACCTCAATAAAAGATCAAGACGAGGAGACCAGAAAACTTTTCTAAGTGGCTTAAACGCGGAAAGAGCGCTGTCTCCAGAGTCTGAAAATCATTAAGTAAACTCTTCCAAATTAACTGAACGAATTCCTTTGAACCCGAAAAATTTTTATCTCTGGCACCAGACTCAGGCACAAGAAAATTTATCATGTGGCTTGAAACGAGATCGACAATATTGTGATGAACTTGACAAGCCTTCGGTGTTTAATATGTGGGTATTTTTCGAATCATGCACGAACTCGTGTAATAAAACATAATTAGGTTTCGACGTCCAAAAGCTGGAATCACAGCAGAGCTTTGCAATCGGTATAAGGAAACAATAGGATGGGATTTGTTGCTCTCATATTAGAGCCGACAACAAAACTATCGACTCTCGATAGTGTCTAAAAAAAGCTAATCCGATGAGTACTACTCTATCGCAGTTGAAAGGAGAAAATCTGTCTATCTCGTAACGTTGTGATCGACCACCAAGTGAATGGTACAAGACAAGAGACTGAGCAAACAGAAAATAAGACAGGCTGAAAAGCTTAAAAATGAGGAACTGGTGTAGATGGTCAAAAGAAAAAAATACTGAAAATTTAAAAAAAAAAAATTAAAACTATTTCTGTGAGTTGTAAGACTGGAAAGGAAAAAGGGGTTATGATGACTGATGTTCAGATTATATTGGGTTTGTTGAGGGAACACTTTTCCAGTCTGCTAAATTGTGTTAAAAATTAAACACCAGGACAGCGCGAGCCTGAAAACGAGAGAATATAGTCGGACGAGAGCTTTTCCCCACAGCCAGAAATAAGAGAACCTACCACACTGTTCCAATTACTGTAGGATAAGCAATAGCGCATATAAGATCTTATCAAGTGTTGTGAATGAAAGATTAAAGCTCACCATCAATGAACTAATTGGATCTTACTGGAGTGAGACATCAGTCTTTACCATCACCCTTGACCAGATATTCACCATACACTGAAGTTTCTAATTCTGAGGTTGGTCTTCGCCCGCGGTGGTATGAATATTCCTCTCACTTGCTCACTTGGTCTTACATAAACAACAAAAACTTTTTTGAGTATATTTAACGAAATCTAGAAAATTTTTCAGTATTTCTAAAACAACCTAAAGCTATTGACTTATTCATTTGGAAGGGATTTTTCAAAATGCTAATTTTTAACAGTTAAAAAACATGTTTAATTCTTTTTTAATGAAATCAACTAGCGTAAAACCGAATTAAATGAAGTGAAAACCACAGGAAAATTATACAAAATTTAATTTAAATTTCAAAAAAAAAAATAAATTGCTATTTTTCCCCTGCGTGTGATCAACCCCTTTATTAAGCGACGACTCGGCCAGCCTGTATTGGAATTTTAAACCGAAACTCAAAAAAAACGACAAGCCGTTGCCTTTCACACGCCGAGATGCGGCGAAACAAGAATGTGTTGTTGCTAGCACAAAAACAACTTGTTAACAACATGAAGAACAACGACGAACTACGAAAGGGGTGTATGGAGATTTAACCCTTTTGTGTAAACGTTTGAGTTTATTCTCGTAGCAGAGTAAAGAGGCGCAGCAAAAAATGTCGTATACAAATTAAAATAAATCTTAGAAGTAATGAAGAGTATGAAGTCGAAAAGAATGTGAATGAATGAGGCAAGTGAGCGAGTCTTGGACGGTGCAAGGAGCGATATGGCTCCTCAACATGGAGGCTGTACTGTCATGTGCGCCACACAGTTGTTGGACCGGCTGACAAAAGTAGACACATTAAATTAAATTGCTTAGCATTTTGTAATGCGGCCCATTAGTGTCAACCCTGACATGGGATATTTGTAGAGAGACATATACAGCCATATGTATATAAGTACCTACATTAACACGTTGTTGGGCATGTTGTCGCTACGCATCAAACGCAGAGTGATTATTGAAAGGATATAAATAGCGTTACAAAAAAAGGATGATATCATGCCAATGGGCCGCTATTAATGATGACCATATCAGTATTGTGGCGCTGCCCAATAAGCAGAAGATCACACATGCAAATAGCCAGCGAAGAGCTGTGAAGCAACCATAGTGTCCTCAGTAGCTAGCAAAGGCAAATGAGCGTGGAACGTGTTATTTATGGCACCTCCTTTAAGGAGAGGTTATTAAGAAGAAGTTTTCTTAGCAACTCATATACATATGTAATACACGCAATAAACAACCCTAATGGGACACATATCGACAATTTATGCGCGCCACATATGGACAACGATTGAAGGAAAAGGACATGCTGCCAAATTATGCAGGGAGCACTTATTTAGTGTACAGAAAAAAAGTTATAATATCTAAAAACTACTCACTTCAGTAGTTGCAGCAACTTTTAAATGTCTTTGGTATGCAAATTTTCAAAAAAAAAAAAAAAAACATACGCATACCGAAGAAGCTGTTGAAAGGACATCTTCTTACAACTGTGTTAATTGTGCTTAAAAGATGCAAATATAAATTATGTCCTTCTACCGGGAAAGACACCGCGATTAAAGGCAACCATGAAAGGAAGTGTGGAAAATATTTTGATTGATGCGTTCAAAGCAAGGCGGCGACCACAATGCTGGCAGTCCCTTACTCACAGCCCAACAGCCAGCTTGCCTGTGCTCGCTTTAATTGCCGCTTCATATCACTTTCAAAGCGTATAATTTGAATATTTATGACCAACGGTCATATTGCGCGGAAATTATTACTTTTTATTATTCTTATTGCACTCTGCCAGTGTGTTTATTTAATGTTAATATATTTAAATTTTTTTTTTTTTTGGAAAGAAAAAAAATTGGGTTAACAACTGTGCGCATTTCTGAGTTTTAAACTGGTTTTCGTTAAAAAAAAAATTCGATTCAGATCTTCCGAGACACCATAATGGATTTAATGAGCTGAAAGGACCGCATATTTATGCTTGAATATGCAGAATAGGAAAGCTTTTTGATTTAGTTCACGTCTTTAGTGGTGATATGTTAATTTCTTGATTCTGCTTGCTTGATGCTTTGAGTTTTTTCAATAAGTAAAATAGAAGACTTTTTTTTTAAATATGTAATATTTTTTCTATTTTTTACTATTCTTTTTATTGCTTTTTTCACCAAAATTTTCCACTTCCTTTGAAGGGGGGAACTATGTGAAATTCAGTGTTGTATCTCTGGTAGGGGAGAGAACATATCGCCAAGTTCGGTTGTGCAACAATAATTGATTTGAACTAAGGTCCGATAGATAGATAAGATCACTATGATCAAAAGGACTTCTAAAAGTGATTGGTACATACTTCTGAGTCCTTTTCATGACAAGCAAAGACCCAAATGTTTCCAAAGACATTGATTTTGTTAAAAAAAAAGGCTGAAATTTTTAAACTTTTTTATATTTCGTTTCCCTTAAATTCCCATAAACTGAAATTTTCTGTATTTGCTGCATGAAATTTGATGTGGCTAATCTATTACAAATGTCAACTGAGCGTTCAGCAAAATGTCATTACAGTTCATCAAATCGTGCTAGCAATTGCTCAGGCAATCGGTGCTACATTTTCATCCCACATTTCTTCATTTTCTCGCATATATTGTTTCGTTCTGTCTCTCACAATTGCGCCGTCATTCGTTTTAATGGCTCATTTGATGTGCAATGGAGTCGTCAGCATTTCGTGCTCGCCAACAGACAGACAGACAGACAGACATACATACTAGCTGTGACCACTCTTTGCGCGTTACTTGCTGTGGTTGCTA